GACATCGTGACACACGCCACCCCCCAAGGCTTTGATCTGAGCAGCTTTATTGTACAGTGTACCAGAATCCTACAGACTCGTTGATCGAAAAACGAGGTCCCTAGCAAGTGTGGCCATTGCAAAGTGGGGAGTGGTCCTGTTGGTGGACCTTCAGGGATCGACAAAAGACTTTCTGGTTAATGCTGTCAAGCAAGCCGGCCTCCTTCAGATGTTGTCATTAATGGTTACCCCATTAGTAGTGTGAGTGATCAGAAGAGACATGGATATTCCACTGGGTTGCTCGCGCTACTTCACTTGGCAGTTCGAGTCCACCGGACACCTTTGTCGAGACTGCTCGGCATTTAGAAGGGTATGAAGATGGTGAGCTCAACACTTGACTCAGTTGGGAGGGGACAATGTTGTGTAAGACAAGCGTTGGGTACTTGTGGGATTTGTCAGAGAGGACCACTCGGGGAAGAAGGGCTGACCTTGTGACGATCTCTTACATGTAAGAGTGTCATCTTCTGCGTAGTTGTACAGAGGAGGTTGGAGAAGAGAGAGAGGTGGGATGGAGGGGGGTCGGGGGGGGGCAATTGCACTAATGCCCCCGTTCTTTCGGGAAAGTCGGGACCACGACGATTGGGAGGACACGCTATAGCGAGTACGGAAAATAACGATTGACGATCGTTTTTTTTTTTTTTTTTTTTTTTTTTTTATCACGGAACTGGACGGGGATTTTTTGGTGCGGTTGCTGCACAGGGAAGTTTCTTCAATTTCTTTTTGAATTTTGAACCGACACAGGTTCTCGTAATTTCTTCTTGCAGTTAGGATTTTAATTAGGCTAGGAATTTGGGAGCATCGTAATTTTGGCTGTAACGGCACAGGGCTCCCTACTCGTGCACACATTAGTGCGTATTGCTCTACACCCTGCTCCCGCAACGCCTAAATTCTAATCGCAATTGTAATCGCTTCTTTCTCTTTCTTGACGAGCGCAGACGTAACTGTAATCCTCGCCGTTCTTAATCTCTTCTCTTTCTTTTTGCCACACAAAGTTTTTTTGTGTCTCTCTCCCGTCTGTCTCATTGGCTTACAAGTGGATGACTGGATCGATGCGTGGACTGCGGCTATATCTCCCACAACGCGGCCCCTCGTGCACCCGAAGGCACTCCCTCCTCACTTCGTCTTGCTTAAGCATAATCCGAAATTACCTCGCGCAACTACTGACTGCTATAAAGCTTGCAAGCGTGACTAATTCACTCTCTAATCTACACTTGGGAGTTGGCGAGATCGAGAGGGTCGGCTTACGAGCGGAGACTGGAAGGTGGGTAGGGAGTTGGGCGTTCCAACGAGTTGGTGCTCGGTATGCGGGGTTGACGTGTGTCCACGAAGGACTGTGGCATAAGGGCGAACCTGGCTTGCATACTCGGACCAAGCGAGGTGAGAACTTCGGGTTGTTGATCTGTGTGAGGCGACGGACTGTCCTCATCGTGGGAACGTTGAGAGAGAGAGAGAGAGAGAGAGAGAGAGAGAGAGAGAGAGAGAGAGAGAGAGAGAGAGAGAGAGAGAGAGAGAGAGAGAGAGAGAGANGAGAGAGAGAGAGAGAGAGAGAGAGAGAGAGAGAGAGAGAGAGAGAGAGAGAGAGAGAGAGAGAGAGAGAGAGAGAGAGAGAGAGAGAAGACGGTGTGCTGAAAAGGGAATTGTTTTCTTCGCATCTTTTGTGCAATTTTGATCTCTCGCTTCGGCGTTCTCAATTGCGGCACTTTCTGGACTTTCCTATCTTTTCTTGGATTCATGTATGAAGCATCTTTATCTCGCCCACCTCTACGTTTTGATTGTCTGAAGGATTGTTGATTGTAGAAACAAGGGCGCAAGAAATAAACGCCTTGCGGAACTGTGAAGATATGTATGTGAATCCGCCCACTTGTGACATAATAATGCCCTTGTGATGATCGGACGTGTGATTTGTTGTTTCCCGCAAACCAACCTGGATCGAGGTAGATGTATGTAGAACGAGCCGGGTGCGATCTGTGTATATGTTTGAGTATGGGTTGGATTTTTCTGATGCATGAATTGCACACAATTGATATCTGATGTATAAGAACGCCATGGCCATCCGATCTATCTGAATTGATTCGGATTCGGTGGGAACCGGTCAGGTGCAGACACATATATGAGTGATCGCTAGACGACAGTTGTCTTGTATACGAGTGTTTGCCTGACTCAGCACCTCCTCTCGTTGCATAGTCAAATGTATGAGTTAAGCCCCCCTTGCCCAACATGGATGTCCGCCTGCCATTCTGGATCATGGACCGTGCCTGTCTGAGGACCCCGAGTGCAGGGAATACTGGGGTAACGAACAACTCTTCCGCCGATCGAAATTACAACTTCCAGTTTACTCTTATCAAACGGAGGACGATCGGCAGTGTGCTCAGGACTTTCACTTGGCCCTTGGACGGAATTCCCGAACCCGAGATTACCCCAACGCCCGTAATTATCAGTACCATCTTCAATCGGGGTTCGTCGTCATTGAAACCGACTTCCCTTCATTCTATCTCCTTCTCCCTTATCACCATCTGATGGTCGTTCCCTGGCATTCGATCGCGCACTGCTGGCCCTAGAAGCCGTGTTTTGAGTGCTATCAGTACAATACTTACCAGGTGGCGGGATTCGTACAACGGACCCGCTTTGAAGCTGAGCACCGAGAACACAGTCTCTGGCTGACGACGTCCACGTCAGACTCGGAGATTTGTGAAACTCGCCGCCGAAAGGTGTTTGAACAGAGAGACACCCAGTGTGTTCCATCAGTGCACCAGTTGCGAGCTTGTCCAAGGCGACGGTGGCGGCGAAATTAGCCATTCGAACCTGAGAAAAGGCAAAACCCCAGACCCAGCCCTGCACAGAAACCGCTTTTCCATCCCCGAACCTTGACACAGGAGATCTCAGTTCCGACCTGGGACTCCACCCCACTTTCCTAAAATCCTTGGCAAACCCCCACTACGCACTTCTGGGCCCCCTATCACTCCGAAAACAGGAAGTCGTGCTGGGCGTGAGGTGGGCATCACAGCCCTGCATAGGCCATGTCCCCAGGACAATCATCTGATTTGGGCAGACAGGAACAGAGCCCACTTTGATAACAGGCCATACTTTGATGTGGAAATGAAAGGGGCAATGAAGAGTGGTCTCAGGCGAGAGCTCGGGATGGCGTAGGAGAGTTGGGTGTGGCAGGGGTTCAAGGCGCACCCGGTGGTGGTTCTTGCGGACGTGAGCCCAAGGCACTGGCTTGGCTGGGGTTCACAGGACCCCAGCACTCCGGGTCTGGTTTTGTGCAAGTGGCTGCAGCAGTAGAGTTGAGGTTAACAGTACATTCTCGGGGATGGTAGGCGGAGGCAAGAACTAGGGAAGGATTCGTAGCAGTTGGCTGGGGGAGCGGTAACTACTAGGGGGACCAGCGCTGTCAGTCAGAAGGGGGGAGGTTAGAGAGTGTGGACTCTGTGGAGGTATAGGGGGAAGTTAGAGATTGTGGACTCTGTGGAGGTATAGGGGGGCACTTGGTAATTACAGACACAGTGGTCTGTTAGGGGAGGGACAGCGTTGAAGGGACGAGGTTCCGGTGGGTAGGTTAGACCTGGGAGCCGTAATAGGCTCTGACAGTGTAGTACTTAGGGTAGGGTAGAGGTGCTGTTCTCATTGGTTACTCTTTACACCATTATTGATGCAGTTTGCAATGGAATGAGGAGGAAGTCTGATTGGTTGCATTGGTGATTGGTTGCACGGGTGATTGGTTGTGGCTAATGAAGCCCTCCGGGACATCCGTTAAAATTGGAGCGATTCAGAGAAGATTAGCATAGCGCCCCCACAAGGATGACACGCATAAATCGAGAAAAAATAAAATAAACTAAAATAACATCCATATGTATGATTAGGGGGCTGTCCCCAAAAAACAGAAAGTCATAATAATTAGGGGTCGCGGTGCTGGTCATTCATCAATCCCGTGCTCTGCTGATATCATGCAAAAGGGACGAAGGATGCGCCCGTTTCCAAGCACAAGCTGCTCCCCGCGGATAGGCGATGAAGTTTGGTGAATGTAGCAGCAACTCCGAGGCCCCGTGACCAGTGAAAGGGTCAGGTATTGTCCTTCATCGGCACGAAACTGATGTCGATTCTTGCCCGTCTACTTCTCCGGAAGTCACGCGGGAGAGATTGCCCTTGCATTTGCCATGTGGAGTGTCATTATTATTTTTTTTTTGTAACTTTGCGCATGGCCCGTAACATTATTGGATACCTCCTTCAAAACGGTGCAGCATGGCCCCTGTATGCGCAAGCAGGAGACGCCCCCAAAATTTTAAAAAATCGCAAAATGAGAGGCCAGATACAGTCGTTCGTTTACAATCTGGCCGCTCGCTTCGCCATTTCGCGATTTCGCGATCTTGCGATTTTGCGGGCCGTGTGTGAGTACTTCGGGCCCTAAGCGAGGCTGATTGATGCACAGATGCGTGTACTTCGGGACATCCGTTAAAATTGGAATGCTACAGAGAGACAAGACTACCGGCACCATGGCCCCTGCGCGAGGATGATCCGCAATAATCGAGAATGGTGCACACACGCGGCTGTTAGAAAACACCTTATAGGCTCGTCCCCAGGGAGTCGGGTGAACGTAGTAGTAATGGCAAGGGCTACCCCTTCTCCCTTTTCTGTTTTTTTCGTTGTTGTTTTTTACCTCTTTTGGAAAGGAGGAGAAAATGCGTGTGGACAAAAACAAAAACAAAAACAAAAACAAAAACAAAGAGTCTGATTCCACGGGGGTCTGTTCAGTGGCCACTTGTGCATTATTCAGCCTCAGGACCACGTGCCGGGAGAATGGGGACTTTCTCTCTCGCCTTCCCACTGCGGAGGAAGCGGCCCGCCTCTCCACTCCCGCACCTCAGATGGATCGATCACGAGAACGGCGGAGTCCATAGGTATATAGCCCCTCAATAGGCGTACTCCGACCAGTCCAGCGTCGTCTCGCAATCTAACTCATTACGGATCCGTCCCCTCTCCCACCGTCCCCTCCTACCTATCAAGCTGCCTCGCCGGTGCTCCAGCCAGCATTAGCAATTTAGCACCAGCACGGTGGCGGAGCAGAGCAGATTCGAATCCCTGAAGAAGCAGAGCAAAGTGAGAACGGGGACGAGGATGGCGGCGACGGTAGATGACCTCTTGAGGCTGGAGATGCCTGCGGACGAGAAGCGCATCATTGCAGAGTACATCTGGGTGGGAGGGAGCGGTCTTGACCTCAGGAGCAAGCCCCGCACTCTGCCTGGGCCCGTCAAGTCGGTGTCTGAGCTTCCCAAGTGGAACTACGATGGCTCCAGCACGGGCCAGGCTCCGGGCGAGGACAGCGAGGTGATTCTCTATCCGCAGGCCATCTTCAGGGATCCCTTCAGAGGCGGCGACAACATCCTTGTSATGTGCGACTGCTACACTCCTCAGGGCGAGCCCATYCCCACCAACACCCGCTACGCYGCCAACAAGCTGTTCCAGCAGGCGCTGGAGACGGAGCCGTGGTTCGGCCTGGAGCAGGAGTACACTTTGCTGGAGAAGGAGCACAAGTGGCCGCTGGGCTGGCCCGTGAATGGCTACCCGGGCGCGCAGGGCCCGTACTACTGCGGCGTGGGTGCTGACAAGGCGTGGGGGAGGCGCATCGTGGACGCCCACTACAAGGCCTGCGTGTACGCCGGCATCACAATCAGCGGGACCAACGGCGAGGTGATGCCCGGGCAGTGGGAGTTCCAGGTGGGGCCGGCCGTCGGGATCGCGGCCGGGGACGAGCTGTGGGTGGCGCGGTACTTGCTGGAGCGGATTACTGAGATGGAGGGGGWKATTCTGTCCCTGGACCCGAAGCCCGTGCAAGGCGACTGGAACGGTGCCGGGTGCCACTGCAACTTCAGCACCAAGGCGATGAGGGAGGACGGCGGATGGGAGGTGATCATGGAGGGCGTGAAGAATCTGGAGCTGAGGCACAAGGAACACATCAAGGCGTACGGCGAGGGCAACGAGCGGCGGCTAACGGGCCGCCACGAGACGGCCAGCATGGACCGGTTCTCGTGGGCCGTTGCGAGCAGAGGGACGTCCGTGAGGATCGGAAGAGACACGGAGGCGAAGAAGAAGGGGTACATGGAGGACCGYCGCCCGGCGTCCAACATGGACCCGTACGTCGTCACCTCCCTCGTCTTCGACACCACCACGCTCTGGAAGCCATTATAGAATGAGGCATATACAGTGACATAGTATTTTTGTATGCATGTACGCCATCCCACATACGGGTGATTGTACTACTTGCAAGACTGTGTGTAGTTCGATTGTCTGGTATATCGGTTCCGCGTAAGTTATAGTGTACTGTGGTCCTTGCCCTTCGCCTTAGCAGCTTGAAGGGTGAATTATTTTACAATGATTTATTCATGAGATAATGTGAATATATCTAGTCGGTACATCCCATTCAGAGCCGGTTCCGATAGTTGATTGTCTTCGAATTGTTCTTTGGATGAGAGAGAGAGAGAGAGAGAGAGAGAGAGAGAGAGAGAGAGAGAGAGAGAGAGAGAGA